ATAAGAAAACTCATTTACTAAGTACTGAAGAACACATGGCACTTATTTGATTATTTACCTAAAAATTAAGGACCCTTTGCTCTTAGAGAGTTTCATGATATCAGTTACAATATTTTGCTGACTTTTTAAAGTTATTTTCTTATTTCACATTTTATTACAACAGGGATAGTATGACAAGCATAGGTTAGGAGCAAAGTGCTTTGTGTATTCCTTCTTATCAGAAGACTGTATTGTAGATCCTGGATTCATAGGTTAATTTTGCAGGTAAATAATCTACTGTTGTGTTCTGTGCTTAGTGGTAGGATGCACGGTGCCTAGTTAGAATGTGGCTGGTCTTTGTCCTCAATTCCTGGCACAGTATGGGCACACTGGAAATTTACTTGAATGAGTTAATATCACCTATCTTTAGAAAACAAAACAAAAACCCTTTCCCTCGACCCCATAGTCTCTTCTAATATTTTCCGTTTCTTATCTTTCTAGCAAAAATCTGCAGAAGAGTTATTTACACTTTCTGCCTCTACTTCCTTTCTTTGTATTCTTTTTTGGAACAGCTCCAGATGGTTGTTTTTTTTTTTCAGATGGGTTTTCATATCTACCACTCCACAGAAATCTCTTTGTCAAGGTCACAGTGCCTTCCATGTTGTCAGCTCCCTTCTTGTTAAAATGTTTTCTTTACTTGGCTTCCATGATGCCCATGCTTCTGATTTTTTCCCTTACCTCACTGGCTCCTTTTACTCATTTCTGGTTTTGCCAGTTCCTCATCCTCTTTCCAACCTCTTAATGTTATGTGAGTCCCCTAGGGCTCTGTCCTTCCTCTCTTCATCTATATTCATTTCCTAGGTGATCTTATCTAACCCTGTGACATTAAATACCATCTATTTGATATTGACTGTTGAATTTCTAGGTTTCCCCTTGCATTTCAACCATATGTATGTATGTATGTGTGTGTGTGTGTGTGTGTGTGTGTATGTATATATATATATATATATATATATATATATGTAGTGCTTACTCAAAAATGTCACTTGGATAACTAATAGACATCTCAGACTTAACATATCCAAAACTGAATTCCTATTCTAGTCCCTAACACTGCCCCAAACCCGCTGGAACTCCACTTTTTCTCATTTCAGTAAATAGCTACACTATTCATTCAGTTGCTCAGACCAAAAAGAGTAGTGTCATGATACCCTTTCTTTTTTCATAATATCATTGTATTTATTTAGACATTCATGCTCTATAAGTTTCAAGAAACAAGCTCTAGTCTGGCTTTGTCTCGCACTGACACTGGGAGGCAGTCACTTGACTTGCCTATGATATCCTTCTTGACTGCTCCTTTCCCTCACATCTAATGTGTCAGCAAATCATACCTTTTATACCTTCAAAACTATTTAGAATCTTATCACTTCTCACCATCCTAATACTGTTTCCTTAATCCATCTCTTGCCTAGATTATTGTAGAAGCCTCCTAATTGGTTTCTTTGTTTTCACTCTTACCCACTACAGTCTGTTTTTTCAGCTGCCATTAAAACAGAGTCACTTTTTTGTTTAAAGCGCTCCAGTTACCTCCCATAATAACTTAGTGTAAAGTTGCAAGATCTCACCATTGTCCTCAAGGCACTGGTTAACGTCTCTGACCTCATCTTCTACCACCTCACTCAAATACATAGATGTGCTGGCTTCCCTGCTGTACCTCAGCCATGGCAAGCTCACATCTGCCTCACGATCATGCACTTGCTACTTCCCCTCTTGAAATACTCTTTTCTGAGGTGATTTCATACGTCAAGAGCACAGACTCTGGAATCAGACTGCTTAGGTTTGAATTTTCTAGTTGTCTGACCTTGGGCAAGTTATTTAACCTTTCTGTGCCTCAGTTTCTATATCTGTAAAATCATAGGGACCTACTTCATAGATGTAATTATGTTGATGAAATGAGTTAATATATGTAGATCACTTAGAATAACACAGACATAAAGTAAACTATGTTAACTATGATAATTTTACATCATTAAGCCTCTACCTGTATGCCACCTGCTCAGAGATTATTTAAATAGTGGTAGAATCATCAGAATAAATGATAAATATGCCTCCTAAGGGTATCTGCTTCGAAGAAGACAGCTCTCTGTGAGGTGAAGACAGCCCATGTGTACAGTGAATGTCTTTCTGTGGATGTCACAGGAGTGAGTTCCCTTTCATTTTAGTTACCAATCTGTACCTCCCCTCAATTTCTCTTTCTTTAGTCAGTTTGTCCTGTAGGACCTACTGCTGCCCAGTATTCCCCATCCCAGCTCCAGCTGCGGCTCCTGCCATTCAGGCTGGGTCTTTGGAGACAGACAGTTGGGACCCTGTGTGGATAGACGTATGAAGAAGAGTAACCTCACATCCTCCCTTTATCTTTGCCTCATAATGGATTTCATGGGCAGCATCCATAGTTGTCCATTTCCACCGCATCTATAAAGTTGACTTTGAAATCCACATTTGGCCTGAGTGTGATTCACATAGCTTTGCATGACGCAGATGCACTTATGTCACTGGAAATTTCTGTGAATTATTTAGACCATAGTTAATTGGACTTGGGTAACCTGGAGGCAATGATAAAATAATTGAATCTCTAAATCTGTTTAAATGATTGTCGCTTATGTATAATTCTCTGTGTAACTGGTCAGAGTAAATTGACCTGGAATGCCTTCATATTTTTTTTCCTCTGATAAAACCAGAAACAAGGGCTATGTGAAGTAATTGGAACTATTGGTAAGTATTCCTACTGATACCCTGAACACAACCAAGAGTTTTCACCTTAATCAGGGCAGAATAGGCTTTAGATAAGAGGCAGAATTATTAGACCAATTAATGGATTAGTTTTCCTACTTTGTGTCTCATTTTTGTGAGAGTGTATATTAGTATATTAGTGTTAGTTGCAAAGTTCATGCTTGCTTTAATAAATGGGGAGATTTTTGTGTCATGTTCTAATACTACACTACTCTAATGAGTAGTTGTTATTCCTGCAAACTAGAAAGAAGAAATACCTGTAGTATATATTTAATGAGTGAGGTCTGCTTCTCTAATTCTGAATTCTTTCGTGCTTGTCCCAATTGTAACAATTGTTTGCCTTCCAGAAGTGTGCAGTGTCCTGCATGAGGTACTGACTTGTGTACCCATGTGGGAACCCTCAACCAGGGACCTTGCACACTGGATATGTGTGTGGGGGCTCTTCAGAGGTCTGGTTTTGGTCTCTGTCCCTGATGATGGATGTCAGTTCGTAGTCCTGGCTGGCCCTAAAGATCCAAATAACTTGGTGATTTCAGGGTGCCATTAGTCATTTATAATGAATCAGTTCCTTTATTCTTTTGATTCAGGAGTTCCATAAGCAACTTTCCCTGGTCATTTAAGACCGTATATTATCATTATTTGACTCTTTAAAGAAAAGACTCTGACATCTCTTTAAAGATGCCTGAAAGTTGAAAGCTCATAGACACAGACAACAGTTTAGTGGCTACCAGAGGGAAAGGGGGGAGGGGAGATGGTAGAAGAAGGTAAAGGGGATCAAATATATGGTGATGGAAGGAGAACTGACTTTGGGTGGTGAACACATAATGCAATATATAGATGATATATTATAGAATTGTACACTTGAAACCTATGTAGTCTTGTTGACCATTGTCACCCCAATACATTTTAATTTTTAAAAAAGTTGTCTAAAAGTTGTAGACATTTGGGTAACCCATAAAAGACATACAGAAGTTTTAACTCTCTTCAAAGCTGCTAAGTTACAGAGCTCTAGTGTGAATTTTTTAATAGCCTGTGTCCTCACTGTAGTAAACTTTCCTCCAGGAGTTGATATTTCCTAGTTAATAGTGCTTAAGAGGATAGTTCACTAAGTGGAATCACAGTATAAAGCCAACTTGAGCTTATGTTTGCATAGTGATTTATAAAAGGTAGACTACTTAAAAGATTTGGGTATAATTTATGCTTTTGTCTTCACCTTAAATAATGGAATGTAATTTTTAAAACAGATGTGATTTTTAGAGCAGTCTTAGATTTATAGAAAAGTGGAGAAGATAACACAAAGTTCCCATATAGCCCCGTAAACCCCCATCTACACATGTCCAGTTTTCTGTATCATTAACATCTTTTGGTTGTATGATGCATGTTACAAATAATGAATCATTACTGATACATTATGGTTAACTGAAGTCTGTGCTGTATTCAGATTTCCTTCATGTTTATTTAATATTCTTTTTCTGTTGGAGGATCCTATCCATTATACCACATTACATTCAGTTGTCATGTCTCCTTTGGCTCCTCTTGGCTGTGACAGTTTTTCAGACTTTTCTTGTTTTTGATGACCTTCACAGCTTTGACAAGTGTTTATTCCTCAGGTATATTGTAGGTTGGTCCTCTTGGAATTTGTCTGATGTTTTTCTCCTGATTAGACTGGGGTTATAGGATCATATGATAAGACTATGTTTGGCATTGTAAGAAATTTCCAAACTGTCTTCCAAATTGGCTGTACCATTTTGCATTTCCACCAGCAGTTTATGAGGTTCTGTCACTTGCCTACTTGTCAGCATTTGGTATAGTCAGTTTTTTGGACTTTAGCCATTGTGATATGTGTAGAGGTTGGGATGTAATTTTTAATTTAGTCTTACTATCATATTTTGTTATATCTAACTATAGAAACATTAACTTTCTCCTGACACTTATCTTCAAATTAGCATTAAGGATATGTGTGCTTCTCCCCATATGAATAACTGTTACAGATGTTTAAATAGCATTTCACATATTACAGTAAAATACAATTACTAATTCTCTTTGCTTTCTTACTAATAACTATAAGCTGTATACTCTTGGTGTTAAGATACATTCCATTGATATTAATGTTTCATGTTTAATTGTTTTTGTTTAATTTTTTATTCTCATTTCCATTCTTCAAAGTCATTTTTGCTTTTTTGTTTGTTTATTTGTTCATAAAGCTTTTTTGTTTCTGTCACATTATGTAGTTTTGTACCAATGGCTAGAAGCAGACCGTCATGGCAAGAGCCAAGATGCTGCAAATACGACTTCAGGTAAAAATAAAAATAAAAGTTGAGGTTTTAGAAATCATTATTTTAATTCACCGCAAGCCCGTCATAATTGTCTGTTCAGTTTTGCTTAGGCAAAAAAGGTATTATTTTGTATTTCTGTTCTCTCATCTGCATCTTAATTTTCATAAAGACCACATTTGCTTCAAGTCTTGAAAAAAAATTATTCATGAGTCTTTAAGCTCTCTTGGCAGATATGTCCTATATTTTTAATAGGAAAGACTATTGCAGCTTAGGTTTAGTAGGAGGTTACTTGACAATATTACTTGGAATTAAGTCTATATGTAGTTGTAGTGGGGGGTATTAATATTTGCACAAATTTATAATCCTTGTTGATTTCAGGATAATCTTTGAAAGGTGGATTTTAAGTAAAGGATACTTTACTTATCCTTATGTATAATTTCCATATCCTCAAAATCCAAATTCTTAGACTGATTCATTTCTCCTATTAAGTCCTAGTAATAGATTCTAAGTTAGAAGTTTATAAAACATGGTCTCAAAATGAGAAGATAGGTTGTCCTCCCATCTCACATCTCCAAAAGGCATCTCTAAGATTTTCTTCTTTGGCTGGTACTAGTAGGAATAGATGCATCCACTCATTTCTAAATCTAAGTGTTATCAGAATTTCTACATTTGTTTCTTCCTGTAATTTCCTTCAAAATAATAATTACCCACTCCAATAAATTTTAATTAAAAAAGTAATATTAATATTTGCCAAGACAGCTGTATATATAGCATTGATCTTTCCTATTCTCCCCCACCCGCCTTTTTGGCAATCTCATTGGTGATCGTGGTGATGGTGGTGGTGGTGGTGGTGGTCGTGGTCGTGGTCGTGGTCATGATGGCGATTCTGTTTTTCTTTTGTTAGATTTGTGTTTCTGTTTTCTGGGATTTTTCGGTTTTTGTTTTTGTGAAATTCTTTTCTCTCTGGAGGTGGCTGTCCTCTCTCTACTGGTTGATTCATCGTGCCTCAAGAGGGTGTGGTGTTCCTGAGTTAACAGAACAGTTATGTTGAAAATGACACTGTCATGACTTTTCTGATTTACCTCTTGTCCCATTAATAACTTGATATGAATGAAGATAATGTTACTATTTTAACCAAACTCAGGCAGGAATTCATTAAAAGGTAAGTATTTCAAGGAGTTATAGCCTGCATTATGTTCTCTTTTATCTGCCCCACAGTATTTCATATTTTGTTTATATTTATGGATGATAAAAATAAGCCTTTCTGGTATTTGAGGGTGGGTGGAGGAGAGTTTCTTGACAGCTGTATATTTTCTGAGGCTATCCTGTCGCTGTGTCAACAGCACAGTCAGCAGCATAGACCTTTAGAACCAGGAGGAAGTTTTTGTTTTGTTTTTTTCTCTGACTTAAAGTGAAATGAAAAGCAACCTTCTTTTTAATGAAGAAGTGAGTAATCTAAAAAGCCTAGTGTTTTCATGAGAATCCGGTATCAGCTTAAAGATATCATTTACCCTTCCTGAAATTAACCATTCTGAACCCTGACTCTTTTCTTCAGACACATTGACTCATGGACAGTTTCACATTTTTCCATTGACTTTTTGATGTTTACATACCCTAGAAGCATGGTGAAAAATTGATAAACATTTCTTAGAGACCCCTTTGACAGTTTTTCTCCCAGAAGTGAAAACGCTCCATCTCTTAGAAGATGGAAATGTGGGGGTAGAAAGATACAGAGATGAAGTGCTTGCCTAAATATGTAAGAAGAAACCAAAGGAAAATGACCATTAGCTGCAGCCTTAAATTAGAAACTTGCTGCAACAAATCTACTTAAATTACGTTCCTTTATTCAAAAAACCTCCTATGTGTTTTATATTACAGTCTACAGCAAGATTTTAGAGTATGACTTCTCCCCCCGCCCCATGATCTGTTAAGTTTTGCAGTAAAAGGTGTTTTAGTATCCATCTTTTCATAGCTTTTTCAAAACTGGAAACTGAGTTTAACTATATGTCCAAGAGTGACTCAAAAATTTCTTTACGATATTTTTACTTGTAACAAATTCTGGTAAGTTGCATTTATCTTTTCATATAACAGCTCATGTACTGTGCTTAAAAAGTAAACTTATTAAAAAGTAGAAAAAACACAGGAAACAGAATAATATTGCTCCAAGATCTTCCAATTCATCAGTCTCAACTTTTTGATATTGAGAATTTTAAGATCCATCGACATTAAAAAATTTTATGAAAGTATAAGGCATTTGCAGATAATAGGTCTCATGGGAGTTAATTTAGTAAAGGAGATAAAGACCTGAGCTGACAGCTATTATTAAATTTTCTTATATATAACAATAAAGTATAGCCTACTTTTCTTTCCAGAATTTTGACAGATGATGAATTTGGCTTAGAATAGCTTGTTTCTTTTCAGAGTTTAGTGTGTTTGATGTGTTTTGTCTACTAAACTAGACAACTCAGTAATACTGTTTCTAATTCTTTTAACTCTATTACTTGTAAAATCCTGGAGATGCAGTCATATTTATTAGAGAATTTTGTGGAAAGTCAAGCACATTGCTTCCTTTAAACACTGCAGCATTGGGTTGATCCATGTACAAAATTTCAGGATTATAATAAGTATGATTAGCTTAATTCAGGAATATTTCTTTAATGTTGCCAAATGGATTTTTTAAATCACTACATATTGAAATGAGGACAATAATTAGGTTACTGCATGGATTATTTTAGCATATCTGATTTTTAGTATCAGTGGTTTAGCCAGAATTTTAAAATTCAGATTCTGAAGTTTTAAATGCAAACCTCTTATTAACAGTTCCTGTTTAGTTGTCCTTTGAGAATTTTACAAGGTAGACTGTTAAGAGGTAGAAATTGAATCAGATTCCAATATTATCAGTCGACATGGCTACAAAATAAAAATAAAACTATGACATGCTTTTGAAAAAATTTTGGACATTAACTAATTATTATTTGTTATAGGTGAAAATTTTGACCAGAGTCCTTTGAGAAGAACATTCAAATCTAAGGTTCTGGCCCACTATCCTCAGAATATAGAATGGAATCCTTTTGACCAAGATGCGGTGAACATGGTATGTGTTTTTCTTTTCCTCTTTAGCCTTCCTTTTATTTTATTAAGACGACAATAGTGACTATATTTTGAATGTCCTACATTATTTCATTTAATTTAATCCTTTAAATAAACAGTTTTATAATATATCCTCATTTATAGATGTAGAAAATGAAACTCAGAGAGGTTCAGTAATTTGCGTATGGCCCCCATAGCTAATAAGTGTATACAGCGGACCCTCCAAGTCCATATTCTTTACCAACTCTCAAGCTGTGTTGTAAGTATGTATTAATACACGATGCTTTGGTAAACAGTGATATTACTTTGTTTGCCTGGAGAAGATCCTGATAGAAGGAATATGATTGCAGTTTTCATTTCAAGGAATGCCATGTGATGAGCCTCTAATTTATCACATTCACAGAGTAAAGAGGTACAGGAACTTCAATGCATTATTTAGACAGTAGCTGGAATTTGTTTATAAGGAATTTGAATTAATATAATGAGTTACTACTGATGATTATAGGTCCCTTTAGAGATTCTTGGACATAAGTAGGTCATAGTTTTCAGGTCATTTAGGAAGGGTCCTGCTTTGAAGCCTGGATAATATTTTGTACTTCCATGAATGCTGTGATTATAAAAATCAGGGGAGCAAATCAGAGATCAGACATGATAGACACAGAGATGTTAAAGGTGGGCTGATACACTGATTAGTGTAGTTCTTTTTGAGTATTTTAAAGGTAGAGTCAAAAGACCCCATTATGATGTGAAAACTAATAGGGATGAAAATTAATGTTTAGTACATGCCTGCTAGATTCTTCATGTATGTTACTTTCACAGATGTACTTACATGTACCCAGTGAGGATTCTTACATTTTATAGAGGTTAAGTTCCTTGCCCAAAGTTATTCAGGGAGTCTCAGGTTAAATTCAGATCCTTTTTACTCTCTAACTCATTTTTCCCCACCTGCATGCTGTCCCCTCCAAAGAAAAACTGTGTAACTTAGTTTTGACCTGTACCAAAATGATATGGGTCACATTGGACCCATTATTGTGGTATTTGTGTATCACAGTAAACCCATTCCAGTCTGGGCTTGCTCCAAGGAGGGAGTAGCATGGTAATTTTTCTAAGAACAAATGCCTAAGCCACTTGGCACTTTGATTCTTTACAGAGCAAAATGTAGTTATTTCTCTAAACTGCTACCCAATACCAAAATAATCAGAGATGCCATTTTGTTGGAAGTTAATACTGTGGGGCAAGGCCTCATTTTTGGTGAAGACAGAGCTATAGATATTAAGTAGGACACAAGTGTTATTTTTATGAGACTTGGAGTACAGACAAGCTTCCAACTAAAATAGTCAACAAACAGCAGTGACAAAAAATAATTTATCAGCCACTTATGTCAGCAAATAAATGAAAAGATATTAAAGAAAATAGTGTCAAAATGAAGCAGTCGAAAAATGGATAAGAATGTTAATAGATTGTAACACTTCATCCTCTTAAATTAGTAAAATATTTCAAGGTATAAATTATTCTGTAAGAAATCAGAATGGTGTCCAAAACTAGGTTCCTATGTAATATGAACCTGGAGTTATTTGGAACCAAATGCCACACTTGATGTGTTTTGTTTCTTTTAGTCATTTGAATGGATTAATAGTGATATATCCATGTTAGCTTTTGCTTCTATCTGCAAAACATTAAGTTTTAAAGCAATGATCAACTTCCTTGATCTGTCTTTGATATTTTCTTTACCCCTTTCCTTTGAGATTATTCTGTGTGAGTAGCAAAAGTTTCCCTCTGAAAAATAAATGCATAGGTGTGTGTTTTGATGGATAAGCACCACACAGCATTCTGTTCATTGCTGCAAATCTGAAAGGATTTGCTGGCACTTCTTGAAAATCTCTGAAAAACATCCCATTAAACCAGTCTGCATTTGGGTCATAGATTTACTGCCCTTAATTTCCTCTTTGATTTATTAGTAAGTGCATTTATATGAAGCTATAATTTATTCCCACTTAATGGTATAAAGCTTTGTTTTTTCCGTTAGCAAAATCCTACTCCAACAAGTCATCGCCTTCTGTAGTATCAGTCATTCCTCTAAAAAGCAACAGTGGTGCTTTGAAATAAGGGTCATTAATTTCACACACAAATTAAGTACCCCAAAGCAGAGAACTTTGTTAAATAAAAAAAAATGCCATGTGTGTGAGTGCAGTGCAAATATAATAGAATATATATATATATATATATATATATATATATATATATATATGACAGGTGACTCTGTTTCTGAATTAATTGCTTTTTATGTCTCTTTTGGTTGCTGATTCAGAGATTTTTATGAAAAAAAAATAAATGAAGTATCATAAAACTGAGGACAATACAACAATCATACACCCACCACCCAGAACTAACACATGTCAACAATGACAAATTTGTTCAGATCCGTACCTTTCCCCGTAAATGAAACAAAGCATTGCAAATAGAGCTGAAGTTCCCCTGCCCTTTCCCCAGTTTCAGATCTCTGAGGTAGTCTGTATTGGCATCCATGACTGTTTATGTAATGTTCTAGTTAGGTAGACCTTATCCTTAAGAATGTACTGAACCTGGGAATTGTTAGGAAGAAAATATTGTCAATACCTTTTAAGATACATGAAATATAAAGATTCAGTTTTGTATATCTGTCCTAAATGAAACATTTGATATATGAGTAATATAGCAAAGTAATTAAAAGTGTAATAACTATTATAAAGCTTTTTATAATCTTCAAAGCTCTGAGTTTACATTTTACTATTTACTTTGATGGGTGGAGTAAAATGATGAGCAAAGAGGAAAGAGTAAAGGGTTGGCTGGGGAAAACATATTCTAATGCCCATCTTGCAAGATTCAAAAGGTAAAGGGCACTATAGACTTTTTAGAGTCAGCAAGAATTTGAAATGTTACATTAATAGATTTGCCATTAGAATAAAAGTAAGCACTTTTTTACCCAAGTTTAAGTTTATTCTCACAGTAAACTCATAGGAATGGGGTTCTAATCCTATAATTTCTGGAGGAGCCCACTTGTTTTCTTAATATTGCAGCTAGAATATTTTATTGACATCTCAAACTCAGCATACCCAAACTGAATTCACGATCTTTCCACCAACTTTGGTCAATGAGTGGTACAACCATCTACCACTTGCCTAAGCCAAAAATCTAGCATCACCCTTAAAAGTTCTTACTTTCTTACCCCTCCCCGTATGAGTCAGCTATCTATCTACTTCTCTGTGTTTCTACAGACTCACTGTAGTCCAAACTATCAAGGTCTGTCACCTGGACTCCTGCAGGGACTAACTGGCCTCCTGCTTGTGCTCTTCCGTTCTTCACACTATAGTTTCTGCCTGCCGTCTCTGGTCCTGAAAGCCTCTTCCACTTCTACTTCACATACGGAATTCTTCTTATTGACCCTTCAGATTTCATTTTTAACATGATTTCCTCAAAAAAGCCATCCCTGAACACTACCTTCTACCACCCTTCCACCATTCAGTCAGGTCCCTTTAGGTTCTCTTAGCACCTTGTACCTTTTGTAACACTTATCACAATTGCAGTTAATTATGTAGCTGGTTATCAACTTTGTGTTTTCTACTATAACTTAAGCACCATTACTAGGACAGAACACTCTCTCTCAATCATTGTGATAGCCCTTGCTTTGCACATACTAGAGGTTCAAATCATTGAATAAATGAATGTTTGCTTGCTTACAATACTTCCCTTCCCCATCCTTGTCTATTCAGGTGTCACCTCTACTGCAAAGCCATCTCTTAAGCAGGACTAGTTAGGTGCTTTCTCTTCTCTATTCCTATAACATCTTGAATACATTCCATAGCAGCACTGATCACAATATTTTATAACAGTTAGTTTATATGTCTGTCTTTCCTATTAGGCTGTGAGCTCCCGGAGTAAGGGATTATTTTCATACTTGTCTTTTGAGTTATGGAGATCTAATGTAATACGTGGCCTAAAACAGATGTGTTTTTTTTTTAAAGGAAGAAAGGAGAGAAAGAGGGAAAGAAAGAAGGAAGGCAAATTGACCATCCCTTTGAGAGTTTTCTGAATAATTTCTCTTTTGTGTAATAAGAGAGAGGGCATACAAGTCATAGAAGTATACAAAATGGAAAAAAGAATTGTTAAAATTCTAGCCAAACTTCCTGAAAAGCCCAAAGAGATGATGAAGACATTTGGTCACTCAAACCAGAAGGGCACACAGCATTGGGAGCCCGCTTTGGCTAAAGTAACCTGATTACCAATGGCAATCTGCTCGACAATGACAACTCTAAATTTTTAGTTGTTTTATTGTGGGAGAGTGGGATGGGAAGGGGATATTGTTAGTAAACAGCAATATTAAGGGATAACTAGAGGTTGTTGAATGCCCTGGTGAGCAAATCTTGATTTATATCTCAGGTTTTCTGAAAAATAAACCTGAGAATTCTTGCAACAATTCTCACTTTTAAAAATAAAAAAGCAATAGCATTTTCCAGTTGATGGTTCCCAGGTTAGAAATATAATTCTTACTTTTTTTTATTTGTCGGAAGAGAATTTAAGGATTCTTACATCTGTTTTCTGTAGCATAGAAAGTCATTTTTTACTTTGAGCACAATTTTTGGCAAGCTTTTCCTGTAAATGTTTGAATGCGTGCTCAACAAAGCTACAAACGCTTAAGGGAATATATGGCAGCTGTTCAAAAACAGTTCAAGCTATAATTTTGTGGTTTATGATGCCAAGAAAAGCCTATCAATTAAATTAAATCTTTATGCTGACTTTGGAGGTCATTGTGTTTCTGTCTTGCCTACTTGATGCAAAAACAACTACAGACTGAATCAGGAGAGGAACTAATTCTGATCCTGTACCCCCAGCTGTTGTTTTGTTTTCTTGTTCATTCATTTATTCATTCATTCAAGAAATACTTATGTGCACTGCACTATGCTAAACAAGTTTGAGTTTAGCCTGGAGCAAGAGGAATTCAAATCATCCTTCCTACACTCTTTATTGACTACAGTATATGTGTCAGATCAGTTTTCATTGATATAATCAACAGAATATCTCATTGACTTACGATGAAAGCAACCTTAATGTGAAGGCATAATTTTAAACAGATCATGCCATGGCCTTTCCTTATACAGTTTTCCCTAAGATTAGAAATAAGCAATCTTTTTCCCCTAGCAAATACAGGTATTTGTGTGTTTTACCTAAGTCTGTATCATATTCTACCCAGATAAACACAGTAATTTAGTTTTTGTTGACATATATAAAGATAGTTAAGTAGAGGGCCGGCTGAGTGGCTCAGCTGGTTAAGAGCTCACTCAAGAGTGCGAGCTCTGAGCAACAGCAGTTCGATTCTCGGCCCGAGCTGAGCTGCTAACAGGTGGCAGGATGGCTCAGCTAAAAAAAAAAAAAGTTAAATAAAGCTACCTTAGTTTCTCTAGTCTCATATTCAGTGATATGAAATATAAAGACATTTCCACTGGCATACTGATGCTAAGCTTCACAGTTTTTGCTTTTTATTCTTTTCAACCATCCTTTTTTATGGCTCAAATAGTATACGAGGTGTGATCAAACAATACGGTGAATGTTTAAATTAAAAAAAATTTGTTACAGTAAAAGACACGTTGCCATTAATCTCCCTCAGAATACTACCCCTCACTTCAAACACACTTATCTCATCATTCTTGCCTCTTTTGAAGCAGTTCTGCAAGTCCTTTTTCATGGGTGTCTTTACTTCATCCTACATCATGACAACACTTGGTGTCACACATCGCTTCTGGTATATGGTAATTTCTGTCAAAGAAAAACATTATGGTGAGTCCTCATCCACCTTATTCACCGGATCTGGCACCGTGTGACTTCCAGCTCTTCCCCAAAGTCAAAATGATTCAGGACATCGAGGCAGCCACAACAGCACAACTAAAGACATGAAAGAGGACTTCCAGAACTGCTTCAGAAAGTGGCATGAATGATGGGACAAGTGTGTTCGAAGCAAGGGGGAGTATTTTGAGGGGCGTTAATGGCAATGTGTCTCTTACTGTAATAAATTTTTATTTAAACATTCACCGTTTGTTTTTTTTATCACACCTCATAAAAGCAAAAATAAATGAAGGGGACTATATCAAACTAAAAAGCACCTGCACAGCAGAAGAAACCATCAACAAAACAAAGAGGCAACCAACCAAGTAAGAGAAGGTATTTGCAAACAACACCTCTGATAAGGGTCTGATATCTAAAATATGTAAAGAACTTATGCAACTCAACAACAAAAAAACCCAAACAATCCAATTAAAAATGGACAGAGAACCTGACCAGACACTTCTCCCAAGCAGACATACAAATGGCCAACAGATACGTGAAAAGATGCTCAGTTTCACTAGCAATTAGGAAAATGCAAATCAAAACCACAATGAGATACTACCCTCACACCTGTTAGAATGGCTATCATAAGCAAGACACATAATAACAAGTGTTGGGGAGGCTGTGGAGAAAAAGGAACCCTCATACACTGTTGGTGGGAATGTAGATTGGTACAGCCACTAGGGAAAATTGTTCCATGTGAGGTACTCTGGAATGTTTGAGGTTCTTAACAGTTCTTGAGTAAGAGATCCAACAAAATTAGAGAAACTAGTAATGTATGTGAAACTAGTAATGTATACTATATACCAGGGGTGCCAAAAAAATGTATACAAGTGGACACTTTGGTCAACATTGCTCAAGCAGTAGTAGTTCACTGTAATCAGAAGTGTCTGGATGCTGATGGTAACCACTTTGAGCACCTCTTTTTTTAAAAAAATATTTTTATTGGGGGTTATTGGGGAACAGTGTGTTCTCCAGGACCTATCAGCTGCAAGTCATGTAGTTGTTTCAATCTAGTTGTGGAGGGTGCACCTCAGTGGCCCATGTGGAAATCAAACGGGCAACCTTGGTGTTATGAGCACTATACCCTGTGCTCTAACCAACTGAGCTAACCGGCCATCCCTGAGCACCTCTTGTAATTGCAGAAGTCAAATGTGACTTCATCTTTTGTTATCAGTATGTATTATTATAATTTTAATACAGTTTTTCCTTTCTTAAAATGTGTATATTTTTTTGGCACCCTCTGTGTACACACACACACACACACACACACACACACACACTGGTGCAAGATTTTAATTGCTTCATTCCATAAAGACTTTTTAGAGGAGAAGTGACATTTTAATGGCATTTATAGGATGAATACACTTTTTAAAATTTTTTATGGAAAGGTAAAGAGGGCCTCTTTAAGGTATTGGGTCGTCTGTTGGGAAAGTCATGATATATTTTTCTATGTTTTTCAATGCAAAAATGCATCATGACTTTCCCGATGACCCAATAGTATTTATGCGGAGACTTAAAGGAAGTAAAGGAGCATTTTCTTATCTACTGCTGCATAACAAACCATCTGAATACTACTTAAGTGGCTTAAAACTCAACTCAGTTTGGCAGTTTTTCCACAAAGGGCCAGATAGTAAACAATTGAGGCTGTAAGGGCCATGCAGTGTCTGTCAGTCACTCAGCTCTGCTGTTGTAGTGCAAAAGCAGCCATACACACTTGAGTGGATGAGCGTGATTGTGTTCCAATAGCATTTTATTTACAAAAAAAGTGGCAGATTGGATTTGACCTAAATGCTGTTGTTTATTGACTTGATATTAAACAACAAAATCATTATTTGGCTTTCAAATCTGCAGTCTGGATAGTGTTTGGCAGAGTGGCCCCTCTCTTCTCTACTGGATGTCAGGTAGGGCAGTTTGAAGGCTGAGGACTGGGATCACCTGAGGGCTCACTTACTCACAGGCTTGTCTCCTAGGCTCCCTCTGTTTCTGTGTCATCTCTCTATTTAGTCTCTCTAGCATGACAGCTTCAGGTCAGCCAAACTTCTTATATGTTGGCTTGCTTTTAGTGCGATGAGACCACTGAAGGGTTTTGAGAAGAGTGACAAGGCCATCATATTTTTAAGGATCACTTTGGCTACTCTACAGGTAATAGATTATGGAAGACAAATGCAAAAGCAGGGAGACTGGCTAGCAGGATATTAATCACCAGGCAAGAGAAGAATGTGGTTTAGATTAGAGTAGTAAGTGTAAATAGGAAGAAGTAATTCATTTCTGGATATATTTTTAAAGGTAGAACTGATGGTCTTTGGTAATGGATTGGATAATGGGGTGAGGAGAGAAGTCAAAGATGAACTCAAGGCCCCTAGGCATTCCTGCTGCCTCCTCCGAACCCCTTTGGAAACCACTGCCCTTCAAAGCAGGACGGTTGATCTGCTAAAAGAGGCAAAACTAATTCTGTCTCCCTCCTACTAAAAACCCTTCAGAGGCTTCCCATTGTCCTCCTCAGACTTTGGACATGACTCACCAAGGCCCTTCATGATCGAGCCCCTACTTATTTCTCCTGCGTTCACTCTCACCTCACCCCACAATGCGTCCTGTTGCCCATCCACAGTGAGTGTGTTTCACTGCCTCAGACCCTCGTAATTCTGCTGTCTGGGCTTTGGCACATGTTGTCCTCTCTGCCTTCTCTTCATTCACTAACACCTATTACTTATGCTCAGGTTTCTGCTTGGATTTTCTTTTTTTTTCTGGTAGCTCCCTCTTTTCTCATTTATGTCCTCCTGCTATGTTTTTTTCATAGCAGCCTGTATTGACCCTATTATAGCAGTTCCTATACTTTATAATTTATGATTTTTTAAATCACCTGTCAGTATCACTGGACTGGAAGTTCCAAAGGGACGATGTCTGTCCCTCTCACCATTGTATCACCATCAGGGGCCTAGCTCAAAAAGGCATTTCGTAAGTGTTTGTTGACAGTTTGAATAAAGTATGTGTAACTTTTAAGGCGAATTGGGTTTTCTTGGTAATGTGGGAATTTGGGAGAACTTTTTAGTTTTATACCAGATCAATGATTAAGTCTGGGGAAAAGAAAAAAAATGTACTGTAATCATGTATGGTAAAATTATTTCTGTGCAGAAAGCATATTGTAATATAAAAGTAAAAGGGAATATATAAATATTAAGAATGACCATTATATTGGGGTAGTTGAATTACAAGTTCTGTTTCCTTAGTATATTTCAAATTTTCTATAATTTGTTTTATTTTATTTAAAATGTTTTTGAAGGCTTTTAAAGAATCAATTCTAATTTTTTATGCATTTTAAGTATCTTAACTATAATATCTTTGACTCTTCAGGTAATTTTATTCCCAAACTTGACTCAACCCTGGATAGTTCCCAAGACCTAGAGCATAATATCTACTGAAAATAATCTAAAATATCTGATTTCTGCCTTTCTGCTTCAGTAAATCAAAATCATTACATTTGCAGTTTATTTTTCATGGATGAAGTATCATATTGTTCAAACTAGAGAAAATAACTGAGGTTTTATTATTCTATTTAACTTTTTCCTATTTATCAAATGACCCTTTACCGATTTCCCTATTCCCCTGAAACATTATCATTACTCCAAAAATAGTATTCATGTGTGTGTGAAGTGCCCTTGCATATTTTGTCCTTAACTTGCTGATGTAGCAAATGTTGTAGATAAAGAAACTGAGGCTCAGAGAGGTTACATGACTTGCTGCAGGGCACAGCTTGGGTTTTTCTGGTCTGCAGTTCATTCATGTACTGTGTTATGATGCTCTTTTCCCCCTTCCTCCACAGTTGTGCATGCCCAAAGGGCTGTCTTTCAGAACACAAACTGACAAGAGAGATCCTCAGTTCCACTCCTTTATAATTACCCGGGAAGATGGTTCTCGTACCTATGGTTTCGTTCTCACTTTTTATGAAGAAGTTACAAGTAAGCCAATCTGCACGGCCATGCAGACGCTCTACCAGATGCACAACGCAGAGCATTCCAGCAGCGTGTATGCGTCTTCCTCCTGCAGCATGGACTCGCTGGCGAGCAGTATCGACGAGGGTGATACGACTTCCCTTTTGAAACTCCAGCGATACAACTCCTATGACATCAGCAGAGACACCCTGTACGTTTCAAAAAGCATATGTTTGATCACACCGCTGCCTTTCATGCAGGCCTGCAAGAAATTCCTTATCCAGCTTTACATGGCAGTTACCTCGCAGCAGCCACCACCTTTGCCGCTTGAGAGCTACATCCATAATATTCTCTATGAGGTGCCCCTTCCGCCTCCCGGGAGGTCACTGAAATTTTATGGTGTCTATGAACCCGTCATCTGCCAGAGGCCTGGGCCCAGCGAACTCCCCCTCTCCGATTACCCTCTTCGAGAGGCCTTCGAGCTGCTGGGATTGGAGAACCTGGTGCAGGTGTTCACCTGTGTTCTTTTAGAGATGCAGATCCTTCTCTACTCACAAGGTAGGTCCTCCCGAGATTTTAAGTCTCCCCAAAACAAGTACTTATGCTCCCAACTGCTGTACTGCCATGGGGTATATTATTAGAACCATATAATTCGTGGTTAGAAGTCTTTTCTATTTTGTGTAAGAGGAGCAGGTATATAGGTAGGACCGGAGGCTGAGATGGTGCCTCTCTTTAGGGTGGCAGTGGCAGTAGAGAAAAACAGAAAGGAATACAAAAGCAGTAACTTGGCTGATTCTATTTTTTCATGGAAATGGACCCCTTTTCCCGATAATACATAATTACCACAAAAGAAACATTCCTTTTCATAATGAGAGTAAGAGAACATGGAGACTTCTCATTTTTTATAGATTAGTAAAGGTTTACGTCAAAACTTAGCTGACATTAGAAAGGGAGAAATGAAATTGTTGACTCCGAAGCTCCCTAAGGCAGTCAGCTTTGGATCTTTGCCTGCAGGCGATTTCACATGGTGAGAGAAGGGGTACTGGCGTGAAACAGACACAACTCTCCTAGGTCTAACAATTCCAACTAAGTTCTGTGGGGTTTTTGTTTTGTTTTGTTTTTAAGGAAGCTATCTTTGTGATATGTTTTTATTCAGAGTTCTCTCAACACATACCTAAGAAAATAACAAAATTTGGGTTTTATTTTACCAGTGCATCTAAGATGACAATGTTGAGCCTAGACTACTAGATAGAGTACTGGTTCCAATCTGAATATGAATTTGCAGAGAAAATAGAGATGCTGTGTCTTAATGGATAGCGAATTGAAGGAAAATATAAAATGGTACCTGTGCATTGATGAGTCCTTTGAGAAATGTAGCACAAATATTTAGGTTAGCATTTTGCTAAATTGTATTTAGGCTGGCAGAATTATAGTGCAGTCTCCTGACTGCTGCTGTCAAGCTTATTTTACCACTTTCTTTTTTTTGTGTTTTGTTTTCTATTTTAAATTATAAATGAGGCTGAGCCAAGTAGGCTATATTTGTACTTCCCCATCTTGTGTGTATGTTGACACTATTTGTGTGTTGACAGTCCTTCACAAGGTTATGTTTTCTTCAGTTTATCCTGAATAATGTTCTTTGATAATGTGTTCCAGTGTCTCAGTTCTTATTATCAGGAAGTTCTTCTCTAATAGCCAATATAAATTCTTCCCTTTCCTCGTGCTCTCACCTTCTTAGTGCTCATCATTACTTGCAGATCATCCTTTTGTATGTGAAAGATTTAACTTGAAATAATTCTCCCTTCTTTTCTCTTCCTTCCTTTCTTGCTTTTTTCCCTAAAGAGGGAAGGGGTTGGAGAGTTGCTGAAAGGGACAGGGGCTTGGAGCTTAACACCTTCAGATGTATTAACCCATTAGAAAAAAGAATTTTAGAACCTAGACTTACGAGGCATCTTCAAGGTCATTTAGTTCAGTGTCTCAATGTTCTGCCTAGAGAAGCAGTTTGGGCCAGAAAGAAATTGGTTTTTGAAGTTATAACAATCCTGGGTTCAACTCTCTGTCCTGTCACTTACTGACTATAACCATAGACAAGTTACGTAATCTTCCTGAGCGTCAGTTAATTTATCTTTATGGGGATAACTCTCCTCGCTGATTTACGATGAAGGGTAAATAAGAAAACCCATACAAAATACTTTGGGCATAATTAGCTGACTAAATTATAGCCAATGTTGTTATAATTATTAGTTTTATTAGTCTTACACAATCCTCTATGAATTATGCATATCTTAAATTGTGAGGTTCTAATCTATTACTGCATTTAAAGCATAACTTTGTTAAATTAAATAGTTAAGGCATTTGTTTCAGGGTTGAGAACCTAATAAATGTCCTCTTACTCTGAATGTCATGCTTTTTTCAGAAAAAACCCTTCCATTATCACACTTCTTGTTTTAAATAGCACTGTGTGTCTCACTGCTTGTGGTCTGTCCTGAGGTCTCATCTTCCTGTTCTGTTTGATTACCTTGTCCCACCTGGTTTATGAAGTCTGTTGAAAAGTTATAGTTGATTAATATCTACCTATTCAAATGAATGATTATTTATGAGCATGTTTTTGTACTCAAGTGAATATTTTTTGGTAACTTGGTCTTATGCCAAGAACAAGAATGACTCCTGAGAATATGAATATATATATATATATATATATATATATATATATATTTAAGAATGTCATACAAAAAAGTTTCATACAATAATTTTGTAACCATGTACTGTAATCACTCTGTGTTAGGAATTGTACTACAAAAATGCGTCACACATTTTGGTTTTTTCCCTGCCTTTAATCCTCTCAACAGTGAGTTGGTACTGTTATCCATGTTTTATCAAGGAGGAAATTGAGGCTCAGGGAAGGTGAGTAACCTGCCCAAGATCACACGGTTATTACATAATGGGGTGGATGCTAAAAATGGGGCTCAGATCCGTCTGTCTATGGAGTACTTAACCAGCATGTTAACAGTGTTGGGCACTGCACTTAACCTTTCCTATCTGTTTCAGTGTTTATTTTTAAATTGTAAACTCATTCTGCAGGTCTATTGTAGAGGTATTATGCTTACTAATTGTAGAATATAAAATGAAAGCTCTGTGTAAATGCAAATTTTAACATTGACCAGTGTTTCTGCCATTAAAAAAAGACATTTCATTTAAATGAATGAGATCATAGAATCATTATGTTGATTTGTACTCTGGTGACCTCCTTCATTCTTCCTGATGTGTTAAGGGGGTTTTAATAACATGTGATACTTCATTTCTTGTTCACTGATAAAGCTGTGCCATAAAATTTTTAAATATTGCAGGCGCTGAAAAATTACCATGAAAACCCAGAGTGAATCAAAGTAGAAGGATTTCAGGGATGAAAATGTCCTTCTGGACTGATTTGGAATTCTGGTCCACAGCCCATTTAAAAGAGATTCAGTGTGTTATTTAGAGATTGTATATGTCACAGTCACTTTGCAGGGGTAACTAGCTGGAAATTTTAAGTAGAGAATGCACCCAGGAGGTAAAGACTGTTTTCTAGGACCCCAGATCAGAAAACATCACTTTCTGCAGCCTAGAAATGCCTGGAACAAGACAGGGAAGCTTGGAGGATGATCCTCTTTTCAAAGGAATAGCGGAGGAATAACAGACAGGGGACTTTAAACACCAGTGTCTGACTTTTGATACCAGTAATTAAAGTCTCAGGAACATCTTTGGGCCTTGCTTACTTCCTTCGACCCTTCACAATGGAAATAAGCAGTTACCCACTGCCCACACTGCACTGCGCGCCTATGTGTGCCATGAGCCTTCATAGGACCCCCCCGCCTCCTCTCCTTCTTGTAAGTCCTGCATGAATTGACTTTGTCAGAAAGTAGAAGCTACTTGAAGTTTTCTTGAAAAAGTTGGGAGTCTTCTATTCACAAGCTGCTAATCATGCTCAACTGAACATCATAGCTTATTGGTTATGGAGTTTATAAATCATAAAAGCAAACTTGATATTTTGATGGCAGAGAGTGGGTAACCATGATCTATACCTTAAAAGCAGTAGGATTTGACCAGCTTTGGCCAGAATTTTTATGCTATTAACTTTATTTTGTGATAAATAGAATCTTAATATTAAGACATTTTTCTTAATAAAGTTTTGTTTTATATTCAGGAAACTAATCCTTTGTCAATTTATGTGTAGCATATATCTTTTTCCTATTTGTGGCTCTTAATTTTCTTTTAGGGGGTCTTTTCATGAATTAAAATACTCCTATTCATAAATTCCAGTTTACCAATTTTTAAACTTATGACTTAACTTTCTGTTTTATTTAAGAAATTCTTCTCTATTCTGAGATCATAAAAATAGTCTACATTTTTTACTAAATATTTTTATTTTACATTTAGCATTTAAGGCCTTAACCTGTAAGAAATTGATTTTTATATTGTGAGGAAGAGTTCAAATTTAATATTTTAGAAATATCTATACTAGTTATCCTAGTACTACTTATTGAATAGACCATTCTTCCTCCCTCTGATCTGTAGTGCCACTTCTGTCATACATAAGTTCCTATATGTAAGGGTGTTTTTCTAGGCTTTCCATTTATTCTGCCAATCTTTCTGTCCTAGTACAGTACTAAATCACACTGTTGTAATTACTGGAGCTTTAAAATAAGCCTTGGTTATCTGTTAGGGCAATTCTCTGCACCACCGTCTTTTTATTGGATGCATTGAATTCAATTTGGGGACAGTTGACATATTTGAAATATTGTGTTCCCTTCCATGAAAATGATCCACGTCTCCCTTTATAAGGATCTACTATAATGTCTCTCAGTAAAGTTTTATAATAGTAAAGTAGGTAATAATGTGCAAATAATGGCAGTTTTGTTGCTTCTATTCCAGTCTTTGTCATGCTTATTTCTTTTTCTTGCCTTACCACACTAACAAGGCTCTCCAGTACAGTATAGAATGGAATCGACAGTAACAATTATCCTTATCGTTTTCCTGATTTTAAAAAGAATGGTTTTAATGTTTTACTAGTAAGTATAACATTTGCTGTACTGTTTTTGATAAATAACCTTGTACCAGGTTAAAGAAGTTCCTTTTATTTCTAGCTCAAATTTTAAAAAAAATCTTGAATGCATGTTGTATTTTCTTGAATGTTCTTTCTGCGTCAAGTAAGACGATCATGTTTTTCTCTTTTTAATTGCTTAGTAAGGTGAAAAAAATCTACATTTCACCCTTATATTCCTGAAATAAACCTGACTTTGTCATGATGTATTTATTACCTTTTTAATATATGCTTCTTTTACTTTTCTAATATTTTTATTAGAATTTTTGCATCTATGTTTTTTAACGATTTGGCTTATAATTTTCATTGCTTGTACCGTCTTGTCTGGCTTTTGGTATTAAGATTATTCCAGCTTCTGAGAAAGAGTTGGAAAGTGTTCCATTTTTCTCTGGAAGATAAAGTGGAGAAGAGTTTATTTAAGGTTGGAATTATTTGTTCCATGACTACTTGAGAAAATTTGTCTGTAAACTGGTCTTGTTAG